CCCCAAAACCCCAAAACCCCAAAACCCCTAAAAATATTATAAATTTATTCAAATGGACAAGAGCCCTCACGAAAGTAAGCCTCCCTTTTCCTCTCCCAAAATTCACGTTCAAATAGTGCTGACAGAGGAAGATATGGCACTGCAGCATATTAACCCACAAGCATTGGAGAAATGGCTGAAGATGACTTTGAAGGATTCTGAGAGTAGGTTTTAGAGGGAATTTTAGATTTGGAAATACCTGCTGCGTTTATGAGAGCTAGTCATCATGATCCATTGGTGAGACATAAGATTGATAGAGTTACGCTTGGAAAGCAAGGGATGAATGGCCTTCAGATAGATCATCTTTATAGATCGCTTTTTGTATACTCGATTGGTTTCTTTGAGATGATTAAGGATTTAATTTCTCATTCAAATGATAAGTACTCTACTCTGACTCGGATCTGGAAGACGTACTCTATTCTCTTAGAGTACTCTTGTAAATCTGATTACAAATTGCTTATCGACAAGATTGTTGAAGAAGAAGCAAAGTAAGAAAAATACACTCAGCTTTAGAATAGCGAAAGAAGAGAAAGAAAAATTTCAAGAAAAGATAGTTGAACTGAAAGATACTCAGAGAGAGCTTGAAAGTGATATAAACACACTACATCTCTATTCCAAATAAACTAGACGAAGACCGTGTTATCGAAAAAGACAAACGATGTAAACTAGAAGAAGACATCCTCGACCAAACCGAGAACCACGAGGCCGAAGTCCAGCTCCGCTTACTCCTCGAAACCAAGATCAACACCTTACATTCCATAAACAGGTACTTCCCTCCCTCACCCACAGAAAGCTATCCCAAAACTACAACACAGCCTTATCAACCACAGAATCCACTCGTGCTGATAACCAACTTCTTAAGACCGCGAACAAAGATCTTCGTGACCAGATAGGACAGCTCAAGCTTGACTTAGTCGAGACTAGTGAACAGGTCAAGAGTCAGCAGCACAAGATTGATGGGTTGGCCAGTGAGATCCTGTATAAGAATGAGCTTGTTAGTTCATTAACTGAGAGACTCCAACATAGTAAGTTAGTTTCAAGTAATGTGTAGACACACAGGTTATCGTTGAAAGTAATATGTAGGTGAAAGATAAGGTTAATCACCAAAAGGAAGTACTGTTAGGGCAGATATAGATAACTTCAAACTCAAAGGTAAGACCAGATAGGATATAATTATTTAGAGATCCCACTTTTAGAGGTAAATAGGGAGGTATAGAGGTTTAGAAAAAATTAGAGCAAAAGGAAAAGGAAGTTAAAGAAGCAGAAGATCGGATAAAGTACCTGGAAGGTACTGTTGAGCAAGTAAACCTCTTATATCGAGGTAAAGTCAGTGAGATTGGACAGGCGAAGAACGGGTTTCATGAAAAGAGTCAGGAGTTATAGGTAATAAAAAACTGTCGATCAAGAGTTACGAAATATTCTTCTTCCTCTCACATATCGATATAGAAAGGCTTAAGGTTAAGCAAAGCTCTAAAGAAGAGCGTATCCAGGACTACAAAGACCAACTTCTAGAAGTAGGCGCTTATTCCTCACTTCGAATAGATCACTCAGAAGTATGAAAAAGAGGTGCAAAGGGCTGAAGAGCTCACAGTCGATCTCGCAAGGATTCTAATAATCTTTCTAGGATAAAGTTAGAGAAGACCTCAAGTGGGCCAAAGAGGAATACATAGAGATCAAAGAAAGATATGAGAATGAAAGCATAGGTAAGCGGAACAATTAGATTTTTCTAGCCAGGAATTTGGTTGAAACAAACCTGAAAGAGAAGAAAGAGCTAGCTAAAGAACTCCAGGAAAAGGCTCAAACACTGGAGAAAAATATCTGGGATGTTAAGAGAGAGTAAGAAAAACAAATTATTTTTAGCCTTTCGATTAAAGAGTATAAAGTTTCAGAACTTGAGCAAAATTTAAATTATCAAAAATCAAAATTCTCAACTCTTCATAATCAACTCGACAAATCAAGAAGTAGCCTTATTACCGAAAAGGAAAAGATTTTCCAAGTATTTTTCCTTATTACCTCCAGGTTTACGACCAAGAAAAATCAGACAAAAACTCATGGATGGAGAAGTTCAAACTCGAGCAACAAAAGAACTCAGAATACTCCACCCAACTCCTTAAACTAAAATCTAAAATTCGTGACAAAGCGTTCCAGCTAGATGACGCACAGATCAAGTCCACTAAATTACAAGAGCTATTAGACTCGAGACAAGCCAGAATAGACCAGGTGCTGAGTAAGTCTCCTATTTCATTTGTAGAGGAGAAACAAGAGGTTGTTAATAAGGTAGGTTTTTGGGTGATAAGTAAAGGGATTTTTGAATTTTTTGAATTTTGAGGAAAATTGGTTTTGGAGGGGCCGGAGGAAGGTTTTGAGGGCGAATAAGCGGTTTTTTTTTAGGCTGTGATCCTGAAGAGGGAGGTTAAGGGGTTAGAGCAGAAGTATAAGAGGGTAGTGAAGGAAGCAGAGGAAGATAAGGAGGATCATATGGTGAAGTTTGAGAATTTGAAGTAAAGGATGGTATGATGGTTTAGAAAGAAGAGTGAGCTGGTGGAGAAAAGGTTTGCAATGCAGCATGAAGATACGCGTTCAAGACTTCATCAGTATTTTTCTGAAATATCATCTCTCAACTCCAAAATCACCACTCTCACCACCCTGACCAACATGCAACAAGAAGACATCCTCTCCCACTCCCTCATAATCACCTCCAAAAACACTCAAATCTCACTCAAAAACGCTGAAATCACCTCCAAAGACCTCGAACTAGCCACCTCCCATTCAGAAGTACTCTCCTCCCCTAACCTCTAGACCAAAAGTACCACCTACCTCACCCTCTAGAGTACAAGAACGAATTCGAACGGACCCAGCTCCTCTACAACAACCTAGTCCGGATCAACAAAATGAGCAAGAAGTCCAGCCTGCTTGAAGCCCCCAAGAACGCTAAGGCTCAAATCTCCAAGCTCAAAAGGATCCTTGACTCTAAAGTCAAGGAGATTCAGAAGATGAAGGGGGTAATACAGAGGTTTAGGAAGGAAAATAAGGAGAAGGACAGCACAAGCTCAGTGGGACAGAAGAAGAGAAGGTCATTGAATAAAGCGCATACTATTGTGGAGAGTAGTTTTAGTCCGAAAGGGAAGAGAATTGGGAGGAGTTTGGAGAAGAAGGATTTGAAAGGACCCAGTGAGAAGTCGTTAATAGCCTTAAGTTCTCCGGAATTTGTGAGACAATTGTCTATTGGTAAAAATCAAGGTGATAAGTAAGTTATGGATCAAGTTTGTAGGTCGTTGATGATGGATAAGTCTGCTTCTATCACGATAGCAAATGATAAGAGAGAAGGTGAATCTCAGTCTAGTAAATAAAGAAAGTGTATCAGATACTAAAAATAATGAAGATGATATCTCTATTACTTCAAAACTAATAAATCTTGAAAGAATCGAAAGTTCAAGGTATCAGCAATCAGATTTTTCATCAAGAGTCGCAAGCGTTTCAAAATTTAAAACTCCAACAATAAAGAAAAATAACATAGGAATTCAGACAGAAACCCTTAAAAATCTCAACCCCAACCCCAACTCAAGCCCTAAATCTCCAAAATCCGTCAAAACACCTCCAAAATCTCCCAAAAAACCTCAATCCCAACCCTCTTCAAAACCCAACTCCGACACCTCTCCTCGCCCTCAACCACTCAAACCCCCTCTGCAGCCACCAAAACTCCTCTAAACCCAGTTCCAAGCTCCTCAACCTCCCACCTCTTCCATTCCTTCTCTAAGCCGCCTGCCGAAGAAGCCCCAGGCTGTGCTTCAATCCAACCGCCTGAAGCACAGCCAGTGCTAAAGCCCAGGTAAGCCCACCGAAGGAAATTAAGAAATAAGCTTGGCTTAGATTGAGATTTTAGAAGATTTCTTAAGGATTTTATAGAGGAGTTGACGCAACAATACAAACAATTCAAATAAGAACTTGAAATAAGTCAATGATGGTTAATTTAACTGAGGCAAGCACACAGCCTGTTATAGATTTGAAGAGTGGAAGAAATGAAGTTGGAAGAAAGAAAACTTCTTTGTTTAAAAAATTCAGTGTACCATTAAAAGGGGATTTTTCAAATCCTACAGTGTCAATTAAAGATCTTGCAAATTCTCCAAAGGAGGATTTGGAAAATAAGGAGAGAACAAACTTTCCTCTTCTGAGTTCAATGATTAAAGCCAGGAATGAGGGAAATCTTTTTGAAAGAATTAGAGATGAGCAAATCAGGAAATCAATGGGAGATGTTGATGGGATCGAATCGACTAATTTTAACCAATTCCATGAGAGAAATATCGAAGAGTTAACAAATCCAAGATACAGCAATCCCAAAGCCTTCAAGGGGACTAGTAGTGTCTATCGAGATCGATATGAAGACAAAAATCAAGGATATAGCTTAAAAAACAGCTTAAATAACTCTAGGAAGATCACTATTGACGATACGGAGGGTATAAGTAGCGTTAAAAGAAAAGTTGGTGAAAAAATAAGAGGATCAGTATTGATAAAACCTTCACAAGCAAGAAAAAGAAGTGTCCAGGAAACTTATTCCAGAACTTCTAAGAACAAAGGTATGATATCCTCATCATATTTAGTAATAAACGAATCAGCGAAGGAAAGTAATCAAGATCTCTCAAGTTTCTTTACTCCGAGATACAACCACAAAATGCCTAATACTGGAAGAGTTCCTTATAAATTGAACAAGAAACATGAATGGAATGAAGAAAATCTGCTAAATAAATACGATGCTGTTCGCTTGAGTTCGAATGATCTAAAGCGGGATGAACTTATGATTGACTCCAAGATTCTGGCTCAGAAGCAATTATCTAACTTTAACCTATCAACCATAGTTCCATTCCACAAGACAACATTATCGAGTTCTAGTAGGAACTCACAGGAGTCCCGGCTGCAGTCTAATGTGCAGCCTAGTATCACTCAGGCTAAGTTTACGTTAAAGAAGAATGTTGATCCTGTCTTTCAGAAGATCAAGAATAAGCCAAGTCTGAATACAGCTAAGCTCCCATCAGGATTTGGGACCAAGAAAAAGAATGGGTCTAAGAGAGACAAGATGAAGTCGATGATAAGAGCTGCATGTTCAAGGTTTACATAATTTCAGTAAATTTTAATTATATTGGGGTTTTGGGGTTTTGGGGTTTTGGGG